AGAGGGGGCACGCGAGAGGGAGAAAGACGGAATGGACCGCGCGCATCCAGACCCTCGCACGTTCTTTTCCACTCCGGGCGCGAAATCGGACAAATCCAATCTGACTGACGGGATTGCCGCGATCCACGGAGGAAGGGAGTGAATTGTGCGTGCGGGGATCGGGGCGGATGGAAAGGAAATAACAGAGAGAGAGAGAGAGAGAGAGAGACGCTTCTGCCTCGATCGAGCCCTCGTAAAAATTTATAATTTGGAAAAATGCTAGCCCGATTTCAGCCGAGCTATCGAGTTTATAAACCGAGAAATCGAAAAGAAGATCGAGCACGAGAGAGAGAGAGAGAGAGAGAAAGAAAAAAATGGAAAAAAAGAAAATGGAGGGCGTACGTACTACGACGACGACGACGACGACGACGACGATAACGTCGAAAGACTTTTGACGAAAATTGAAGTCGTTGTTATGACGGGAATTGGCCGCGACGACGCTTTACGAGAGGGACGCGACCCGTGTCGACTCTCGCAACTTTTGGAAAAAGATTTCAAGGGATGAGGGATGATAACTCCGTGTTCCGTGCGTGCGTGATTGCGCGTGTAGGACGGACAGAGAGAGCGAGAGAGAGAGGGAGAGAGAGGGAGGACGGAAGAGCGATTACGGTCGGCAATGGGCGGAAAAGCGGGGAAAAGACGTAAAAGGCGAAACTGACAATTAGAAGCGGAGCCACGAACGCTCGTATTATTATTCGTTATATCGTTTTACGACTTCACGTTGGTTGCGAGCCGCGCCGCGTTAAGCGGTTTATAGTTTTTTTAATTGCCAAAGGGTGGTTCCGCGTTGTGCAAGAGGCTCCCCGCGACCGCGCGTCTGCCGCGGAGGAGGAGGAAATCTGTATAATTGCGGAGGGGAGACGGTTGGGAGACGCGTATAAATTGCGCTTGGATGCGTCACCGTACGCGACGTCACGAACGAATTAACGCCCGTTAACGACAAGGTTGACGCTTCCTTCCCTCCCTCTCACAATAAAAAGGAACAAAACTCGCGTCTTTCTTCGCGATCTCTCTTTCGAGATCTTTCTCTCCTCTCGCACACAGGCCTCGACACGGTTATCGCACACCCGCTTACTTACACGCTTCCAACTCCCCGAGTACTTATTGTCTCCTCCTCCAGTGCACGAGAGGGGAAGCGCTCGATATCGGGACGGGGCGCGATTGATGATGCAGATGTTTCGAATCGACCGAACGGACGTCCGAGAGAGGCTTGGGTGTCGAGGGACGACATCCTTTAGTGGTTTAACGGAGAAAGAGACAATAGGGGAATTCGTGACCGTCGTGTAACGCAACCATGTTGTAGAGAAGGATCTCACGGTGGAAAGAACGCGGCGTTTAATAGCGTTTTCGGGGGAGGGTGGTGTTTGGACGGCGCAGAACGGTAGCAGGATGCGATAACGCTCTCGCTGGCATCGTAATTCAAAGATAGCGCTCGTGTTGTTTAACGAGAAACAGTGGCTCCTTTGTCGAGGCGTGCCCCGCGAATTCCAACGCCTGCTTGCCAACGGTAGAGGTGGGACGGTGGAGAAAAATCCGGAAGAAGGAATAGCGGTGGAGGGGAGGGGGTCGGCGTTTCCGATCGCGTCGCGTAGACTCGGCGAGGGCACCGTTTAATCCCGGAATGCCGAATACGAGAGAGCGTATCGCCGGCCCCGAGCGATAGATTTGGCCAGTGCGCGAAAACGGGGTTGCAACCCTCCGCTCCAGAGTGCACCCTATCCCTCGCCGGCCCATTAATAATATACCCATATTGGACACAATTCACCTTGAAATTAACCGGCAGCCGATTGGTAAGCCCGGCCAAATTGACTTCGAAATTGACAATTTATAGTCGCTCCATTCCGCTCTCGTCTCTCTCTCTCTCTCTTTCTTACTCTTTCTCCCACGTCGTTTATACTTTTCCAGCCTCTTTTCCAGAGTCTATCCATCCATCGTCGTCGACGAAACGAAACGTCGAGGCGAACGCTCGATCGAAAGGAATCGCGTATAAGAGTTGGCTCGTTCTCTCGTCCGTGGAATTGGAACTCCTTCGTATTCCTTTCAGCCTCGAAGAGATAGAATTCTTTTTCACGTTGCTCGGTGTGCAACGATCATTAAGGCGGGGAATGATCGGATCAAAGCATAGCAGCAGCTGGCGCGATCATCGCGAATCCTACACGCGATACTCGACCGGACGCGAACCGAAACTCTTATATCTGATCGATCCGATCCGGATAGGTGAATTCGATCGAGATATCGTAAATCGTAGGCGTATCCCCTTTTAACCGGCTATCCTTCCTCCGTCCAAAATTCGAACCAACGAATTCGGCTTGTTTGCGATCGCGATTTCAAAATTACACCTGTAATCGAGTTAATCGAGATAGAGAAAATTCGAGAAAAGTCGCGACCGAAAAGTGTCGAAGATGAAATTCACGCTTCGAACGTATAATATGTTCGCCGTTCCACTTTGTTCACGGCTCTGTCGTTTTCGAGCTCTGTCGTTTTCGTTCGCTCTGAATTAATCATCGATTCAATCCGCCAAAAGCAAACACACCTTTCACCGAGTATAAATCATCCGTCGAACGCGCGTCCGTAACGCGAAATTTAAATTCTGGCCTTTAAGAGCCACCTCCCTCGTTACCTCGTTCACCGTTTCGATCGACAAACGCAGATTCCTTCGATTTAACGGTAGCCTAGTATCGTCGTCGAGTACAATTTACAATTTCCATGTTCTCCGCGTTCGTCCTCGGAGCGTTCGTGCCTCGATCCCGTATCCCTCTCCTCTTCGACGATTGCGATCGGCCGCCCCTCAACACCCCGCGAAACCGCGGGGACAAAGGGGAGCGAGTTGTCAGCAAACACCTTTCTAGATATCCGCGGTTTGATTGTTTCCGGTGCGACTCGACTTTCTCGATTTGCATCCGCGCTCACCACCTGCCTGCCTGTTGTTAAAGGGAGATCGGTCGATCGCGGGCCAAGGCGTTTATTAAATTTCCCAAATTTGGAGGCGGGTTAGAAAGTGGCGGGAGAAGCGGTTCGCTTCGAGGGATGAGACGCGAAAACTTTTCTTATTTAGCCGGTATACGCGAACGCGCGCAAACAAGTACGCATTATACGGGGTCTAAGCGTTGGAGAGCGCGTTCTTGTTTTCGGTGTAACCCGAAGCTAAGCGGTTTAAGAGATCAACGCCGTATAAACCGGCCGTCTGAGAATCGTCTGGAGATCTCGTGCGTGAGAGGGCAAGGTGGAGTGAGGAGGAGGAGGAGGAGGAGGAGGGGGAGGGGAAGAAGAAGTGGTGGGAGAGGGCGCCAGGGAAACGAGAGAAGGAGAACGGAGATCGAGAGATGCTCCCGCGATGAAGAGAGCCGGAGAAAGCACCCCACTGGAACGATAGAGGGACGCGGAGGTGAACCCAGAATCGAGCACGAGGAAGACACTCTCTTTTTCTCTCTTTCTCTTTCTCTATGGTAAGAGGTGAAGAAAGAAGGACAGAGAGAGAGAGAGAGAGAGAGAGAGAAGAGAGCCAGAAAGACGGGATGAAAAATTAGATTTACAAATCTGTCCTGACTACTATGAGATTGCTCGCTTACCAGAGCAGAGATCCTCAACTCGAATGTACTTCTCGTCCCATCCTAAAATATATATATATATATAGAGAGAGGAATACTCTCGAAGGAGCCTCGGATTTTCGTTTTCCCTTCTCCTTCTTCGTTTCCTCCGATTTTCGTCGCTATACTGCGATCCTGCCCCTCCTCCCCCGTTGCCTCGACGTCGCGCTCTTATCGCGCTTTTATCGGCGTAAAAATAATTTAATTTGCGTCTACGCGCGGACGATTGAGTCGAGATTATCCGGATCAAATGGCGGAGAAGAAAGATAAAGAGAGAGAGAGAGAGAAAAAGGAAAGGTGAATTCGAAGGAATGGAGCACCACTGGACGAACGCCCCGCTATATCGGGAACGATACAGAAGAGGAGAGGATCCTCGTTGCCTCACGGTAACGACGCGAGTCTCAGACACGCGGCGTTTCCCCGGCGTGAGCGAAAGCCGAAGGAATCGAGGCGCGTATGCACGGTGTGTTTGTTGCGAGTCGATACGGCCGCGCGTATATGGAAGCGCCTCTCCGGCGCCTGGCGGAGCCGGCTATGAAAAATGAACGTTCGCTCGTTCGCTCGCTCGCTCGCTCGCTCGCTCGCCGCTACCAAGACGTTTTCACGCCAATTCGTGACACACTGGCTCGCGGTGGTCCGATCGGAGGCCCCGAGGATCGTTCCACTCCTCGCCCCTCGCCGGGGAATGGGGAGGGAGGAGGTGGGGAGAGAGAGAGATGGCGGAGAATAATCGAGTGTTTTCGAGACGCGATAAGTTACGCAAATGCAGCCTGTTTGGCCCGTTTCGTCGCGTACTTTTATCTTCCCCTCGGCTAGGTTTATCGCGGCAACGTCACTACTTATTAGCCGGTGGTATCTCGTGGCTGCGAGAGCTCGCTCGCTCGCGACCACGCTTGTCCCGCACTGATCCACGCGGGAAGGTGAGTTTGATCGGGCCGTGGTCGGCCGAGAACCAGTTTCTCGAAACGTAACCGCCGCCGCCGCCGCGTTCCAGATCTCCAGAGAGAGAGACTCTACTAATCGACACTCGTAGCGACCCAGCGTTTCCTCTCTCTCTTCGATCGCGAGACCCGAGAAGGAGGTGGTTCCTTCGAGTCCTTGGAGCCGGAGCCAAGATTCATCCACTTTTCTTTCTCGCGAGAAAATACGCGGAAAATATTTCGATCGATCGAAAAGAAAGAAAGAAAGAAAGAAAGGAAGGAAGGAAGGAAGGAAGAAAAGGGAAGGAAGGAAGGGAGCGTGTTTTCTCGCGCGAACTTGCAACTTCTCTGAAGTTCATCGCTTGCGACGAACGTCGTAAGCCCTCGGATCGGGGTAAAGCGTTACCTCGATGACAGGTGTCTCTAACCACAGTAACTCTCTACCACTGTGCAGCTCCAGGCCGGGAAGACCACCGAAGAGAGCTTCAGTCGGTTTGAGCCTCGCGGCCAGCCACTTGGCCGCTGCCACCACCGGTCACCACCCCCAGCATTCGCTCAAGAAGCACAGAATGGACAACGGGGATTACTACGAGAACGGGCATTTGGGTAAGTGTATCCAACCTCTCTCTCTCTCTCTCTCTCTCTCTCTCTCTTCTTCTTCCACGTTCGTCCTTTTGTCCACCTCGTAACAGAGGCCATCATCCAACGCTCGATCGATTCCGGTTACGAGCGCGCGAACGACTTTTCAGCCATTCGCGGCCTCTCCCTCCCTCCTCCCCCCCCCGTCCCGTCCCGGCCCTCCGAGACGTTCGTATTTCAAGCCGCGTTCCGCCACGTCCTCTCTCTCGATAACCGCGCCACGTTTTATGGAGACGACGAGGATTTCGCGACAACGTTGTTTCACGATCTTGTCGGCCGGCCATTCCACACCCTTGTCCCACCATGTCCCACCACGGCTATGGGCAACGCGAGGCATCGCGGCTCGACGCGTTGGGAAGGCATCGCGTGCCTGGCCGAAGGGAACGAGAATTTCTCCAGGAAAAAAAGTAAATCGCGATACTTTGTTTTGCGGAAATTTTAACGGTTCAAATTGAAATTCGATTTCGAGAAGTATTCTCACGATTTTCTATATATACGAAGAGAACAGAGGAGAACGTAAAAGGAAAACTTTGAACTTTGTCGTTCGATAGAGATTCGAATAAGTCGAAAGGAGGGAGGGGGGGGGGGATGTATCGAGGACGAAATTGACGAAAAGACATTGGAATCGGAGTGCGGCTCTCGCTAGGTAAACCCCGTTGCTCGCGTAGATAGCCCTGGTACCAGGGGCACGCACTTGATTACCGCCATCCGTATACGCGCCATGGTGACCCTACCGATCAATTAATTAGGGGAATCAAACACACTTGGAGTGAGCAAATTAACTGCAACTGCACCGTCGTGTTGCGGCCTGTGCTAGCGGACTCCGATATTCACCCGTTCCAAACCTGCTCCGACTTCCCATTCCCCCTCTCTAAATCTTCTCAATGTCGACTGTATGAATTCCAAACGGCAAAGGGAAAAAAGAAAAATTTTTCCAAAAAATTCAAATTCGCGAGATCGAAAAATTTCTTCCTTTCCTTCTCCTTTTCCGTTTTTGGATCGCGCGGTGTATATCGCTTCTCGAAAGCTGTAAACTACTTTCGAAATCGCGAAAGAGGGGACGGGACCGGGCGCGCGCTTCTACGATCGCCGTTTTCGGGAATTGGTTAAGCAAATAATCGCGAATACGCCGCCCGTTCAATTTTACGGGCAAATACGTTTGACGGTGGAACGTTAATGAATTAATGGCACGCGGACGGGGCGTGAGCGCGAGAGCGCAACAACTCGACGATTGCAGCCGGGGTAAACGTTGAAACGGCTGGCAATTAATTACGAGCCCGCGGTAATTGTATAATTGTTTTACGATTGGATCCCCCTTTCCGGCTACGATTGATCGCACCGCGTTTCCTTTCTCTCCGCTTTGCCGATCGTCGAGGATGCCCCCGCCCCGGCCGAGGAGCTCGCTCGTTACTCGCCACGCACGCAGCCTCGTAAAATGGGGATCGTAAACATTGGCGTGTCGCGCGCGTGTGTATATATATATATACATATATATTTGTCTCGCGTCTTTTAATCTCTCCACACCATCGCTGTGGAAAAGTGGTTCTCTCTTTCTTTCTCCTTTTCGAGGAAATACTTGCAGCCTTTTTTTCCTCCCCCCTCTCGTAAAAGGAAGGGGATTGTCACGGATTGGCAAAAGTTACGAGACTGAGTACGTGTATATATATGTGTATATATATATACGTGGTTTAATCGTCGTGGGCAATAAACGAAGGAGTTATCGAGGACGCGATCGAACACCCAGAAGCACGCGTTTCGCGCCGAGGATTATCTTCCATCCCCTACGATATCAATTTACAAAGTGGCGAGAGAAAGAGACTCTCGCGGTATCCGTTCCTCTCCGCACGCGAATAAGAGGAATAAGAAGGAGAGGAAGGGAAGGGGGGGGTATAAAAACGTGCGAAACGGGGATAAAGGAGCGAAAGAAGAGAGAGAGAGAGAGAGAGAGAGAGAGCGAGCGGCGTGGATTTTTTTCAATTTGAACCGGTAGGCGAGCGCCACTTGCCATAACGCAATTAATAAACTCAACGAGCGAGATCCGATCCCGATAGCGGCGGCATAACATCCATTCGGGACGTGGCTGGCACAATGGCCGGCACAATGGCCGTGTATATACGTGGATCGAACGGTTCTCGGGCAGCACGGCCGATACGCATCTATGTTGTCTCTACAAAATTAAAACCCATGAGAAAAATAAATAGCTCGAAGGGGTGAGCCCTGAGTAGGGAGACGGAGGGCGCGCGCGGGGGTTGTTGCCTCGGCTTAGGTTAACGACGCGATGCTCTCGACGTGCACGAGAGAGATTCTTTCCCCGATTCCTCCGCGAGCTCCCCCTCCCCCCTTTTTTTCTCCCTCCTCTCATCGCATTCGGTCCGATCGTTTTTCGATCAAACTATTCCCGGAGCTGGAACTATTAGGCTACGCTGCGTAATAAACTAATGACTATCGGCTAACGTCCAGCCGTTCTCGACGCGTGCGTTTTCGGCCCCCGTAATTATTTAATGCATCGATTACCGAAATAGCATTAATCAAATTGGCCGGCCGCTATTTATATTATATGACCTAATGCATGGCGAATCGTGTATTAATGCGCAAACTAAGTAAATTATCCAAGCATTCCCCCTCTCCACGCGCGAATTTTCCTTCCTTTCTTCCTTCCTTCCTTCGAGAGAATCCACGAAAGCGCAGTGGGTTTCTTTCGCCTATTTTGGCTTTGGCTTTCGTTTCGATCGGACGACGAGACGAAGACGGGACGCGGATCGGTGGAAATCTAACGTCGGTTCGATCGCGAACAAAGCATCATAAAAGCATCGATTGAACCGGTCGTAGACCAACCAACGCGCGTATAACCCCTATAAAACCCGGTTAATAGGGGGTCGATATGGCGCGATATCGACCTTTCCCAAGACGAATTTTCTCTCTCTCTCTCGAGTCGAGGCGAGGTCGAAAGGTGCAAAAGTAATTAATTAACGAGTAGCAATTGAAGGACGAGTCCGCGGAAGGAGGGAATCGGTTGCTCTCTCTCTCTCTCGATGAAACGACAATCGAGACGGTCGAAACAACGATTGGAAGGGAGGAGACGGAGAAGCAGCGGGGGTTCGCGTGGAATTTTCATCTGGCTGCGGTCAGAAATTACGCGGAGGGGCGAAACCGAGGCCGAAACCGAGTTCGGACGCGGAAGTGAAATAATCCTCGCGATTAAAGCGCGTTAATAATCGTGGCGCGAGATTATCACTACGAAGCGGTCGGAGGGGATACAGGATGTTTTCGTTTCTCCGAATATTGGTGCTCGATCGCGCGCGCGAGTCCCCCACGAGGGAAGAGCGGGAACGAAACGGGCTCGGGCCGGGATGAATTAAAACCCGTTCGTTGGTGGAACATCGTCCTGCGTGGCACGCGGCCGTAAATCAGCCCAGGAATTTTCGCGTTTCTCCCGCTTTTCGCCTCGTAACGAAACGCACGCTCCCAAATGAAGACGTTAAGAGGGGAAAAAGTGGTGGTGGTGGCCCGGCCTCGCGCTGCAGGGAGTTCCGATCCGTGTTCGCTTTAACCGATCTATTCGCGTTAATAAATCCGAGAATGCACGCGGTTTCGAGCGTTATGGGCGCATAAAGGAAACCGGACGAACCTCGACTCGGGGACAACGCGACTGCTCGCGCCCGGTTTTACCGCGACTTGATTATCCCCCTCCGTTTAATCGGTCGTTTTATGCCGTTGCCGCTCCGCATAGAGCTCGCCCCGTGAATTCACAGCTCCATCCACGTTGACGGACATTGTCCGCGAATGGTCCGTCATAGTCCACTCGTACGTATAACTCGACAACTCGATTGAAATATCACGTCGAATATGGCGATTCGAGGGAAACGATCATCTTACTATCTTTTTTTCTCTCTCTTTTTACCCGTTGAATCGTTCGTGAACGCGATCCACGGAATGCGATACGATCGAACGAGAGAACGAGAGAGAGAGGGAGGGGAGAAAAGACGGAGGCAGTCGGCGAAAAGGGGGGAAGATGATTCGTAGGCTTTTTAGAGAGAAGTGACGGCAATTTCCTGCGGTTAAAACCGAGGTTAATTGGTTCAAAAATCTGTACTAATTTGCCGGCCATTCCGGGCGAGGGGGAGGAGAGAGAGGGGCAGGCGTTCGCCCCGGCACCGGGGCGCGATGGTGGTAGTCAACAATTTACTCGTTAGCGGCCGGCAAGTGCCGCGCCGCTCAATTAACTCGCGAATCAACGAGCGGCCCGCTTTGTCCTCGAGCGAGCGGGCATAGCGCTCTCCGCCGCTCTCTCTAGCCGTCCGCCGCCCGTTTCGGTATTTTTATAATTTGCACGGGAGCCCTCGTGACCAACAAACCGGCGGAAGTGCGCGGAACAACGCGCGGCCACCGACGTGTCGAGCGGGGGTGGAGGGACGCGCGCGCGCGCGCAAAAAAGGGAGAGAGAGAGAAAGAGAGAGAGGGAGGGAGGGAGAGGGAAGGAGAACACGAACGAAACACGCGCGCGCATCGACGAACGCGGGTGAAACGGCGAGAGAGGGAGTAACGCGAAAAAAAAAGCGCGAGGGAAATGAAAACCGACACCACGGATCGTGGCTTGTTTTCTGCCGGTGAAACCAACCCCCTCGACACGGGGTAAATGTCTACTTTGGAGGGCGGCCGGCCCGGTTGCTCGTTTACACGGGCACATGTCAAAGGTCCTGGTTACGCGTGTACCCACGCAAACGAGCCGCGGTTTTTTGCCGCGCTATTTATTTTCTTTTCATTTCCGTTCTCGTTCCGGGCTGAAAGGGCTCTGGCGAGAGCACGCCACGAGTGGTGGTGTTGGGCTCGCAACCGGGACACGCCGCGCCCGGGGATTGCCTTTAAATCGCTCCCGACACTCGATATTCGTGCGGTGTGCCCGCGCTCCAACAGCGCGCTCGTCCTTCCTAAATAATACTTAACCCCCCCGCGCGATGAAATCGGAA